AGTAGTAGTAGTGTGTGTGTGTGTGTGTGTGTGTGTGTGTGTGTGTGTGTGTGTGTGTGTGTGTGTGTGTGTGTGTGTGTGTAAAAAATTAGTGTTGATGAAAGTTAGTATGTCTTTTTTATTGACATAACAGGTACAACATTGATGGCAGCAGCAGCTCAAACTTTCTAATACTCCCTTCTCAGCTACAGCTGTGTGAAATAATGGATTTTTTGGTTTGCTGGCAATTATGAAAAAAATTAAAATTCATTTTGGTTCGGGTCAAAACCAAATTAAAATTTTTGTCAAATCAATAAATTGAAAAAGGCTTGTTTTGGGTCAAATGAAACATTTCATTTCAACAAAACCTAAACGTTTTGTTTCATTTTCAACCTTTTAAAAGATTTTTGGGAAATCTGAAACAAAAAATCATTTCAAACTGAAAAATCGAAACATTTCATTTTGAAAAATATGTCAAAATAAAATTTAGATTTTTTTTTCTGAATTTTTGCTCAAAAAGCAGTTTAAAGAAACAGACATGAATTGGCATTTTGGCATTTTTTGCCTTCACAACTGAGAATTTATGCCAATTCGGGGAGGGGGGGGCTGTTTTTCATGGTGTGGAACACTTTACAGTCACTGCTGATCTGGGCTCTCTTTGAATCAGCAATCTAGAGGGAGAATACTCAGCTTAATAATCACCTGAGCCATGCCACACTCTCTCTCTCTTGTTATCTACATGACCAGTCTGCTAAATTTAGAGCCTATTTTCCATATAGACAGCACGAAAGGGGAAAGGGTCAAGAGAAGATCTAGCTCAGAGCAGTCAAACATTTCAGTAAAGGAAGATGGTAGAATCAGGCCACTTTATTTCTCTATTCAGAATCACTGGTTTTGCCCCCACTTTAATACTAATAGTGGAAGAAAAGATGAGAATTGAAAATTCTGGTAGTTCTGCGGCATGACTTCTAATTTAGCCACACACACAAGATGTTAAATTTAATTACATTATGGTCATTATTACTGAGCTGTTCAACTATATTAACCTCTTAGACCAGATCCTGTGCACCATTTAGGACTAAATCTAGAGTTGCCTCTCCCTTTGTCAGTTCCAGGACTAGCTGCACCAAGAAGCATTCATTTATGGTGTCTAGAAATTTTATCTCTGCATCCCAGCCTGAAGTGACATATATCCAGTCAACATGGAGATATGTGAAATACACCATTATTATTCAGTTTTCTATTTTTGTAGCCTCTCTAATCTCCCTGAGCATTTCATAATCACCATCATCCTGGTCAGGTGGTTGGTAGTATATTCCTACTGCTTTACTCTAATTATTCAAGCATGGAATTTCTATCCATAAAGATTCTATGGTACAGTTTGAGTCTTAAGATTTTTAATATATTTAACTCTATGTGTGCTTTCACATATAGTGCCACTCCCCCACAAGCATGATCTACTCTGTCCTTCCTATTTATTTTGTATGCTGGTATTACTGTGTCTGATGGTGTATGATTGGAACATGACCATTTGTATCATTAATACTGTCCCTGTTAGACAATTGCAACACATCTTGTACACAGTATATTATGTAAGGTGTCAATGGAAGTTATTGTTTGCCAAGTATGATTATCCTGTTTATATGCATGTATCATTTTTGTATCTGAAGTGATGAATATTGGCTATATCTATCTATCTATTTGTCTATCTATTTCAAGTGTGTTTGCTCCTGGGAGAACACCCACCAGGTAATTTACATCCAGTCTGGCCAGCACATTGTGAATGAACTGTTCAAGTTGATGGCCCATTAAAGAACCCTCAACTCTCACAATGGGCCATAGAAGAAGCTCTTCCTCACCCAGTGAGCTTTCCTATGGATGCTTTAGCCAGAATATGGGTAATTGCTGCTCCTATGAATCATCAAGCCATGTAAGGGCATGTGACTTGCTCACATGACCCTGCATTCCATCTTGTACTTGTAATTTTTCCACAAACTAAGGCTGAGAGCTGTGTTTGGGACAGTGAAATTCCCTCCACATGGGGAAGGTATAAAAGACCCTGGAAGCATCTCCATTTTGCCTCTTTCCTGCTCTGATCTCTGGACTACAGACTTACACTAAACGAAACATATTGACTATGGACTGAGGACTTTCCAATGTTTTGGAAGTTACCAGAGTTGTTACAAGCCAGCCTCTGTAACATCACTGATACAAACCTCATCCAAGAGCTTTGCAATGATTGTCTGTATATGACTTCCTTAACCCTTTTAAATCTTTCCTCTTTCTTTTCTCTTATAAATAAACCTTTAGACATTAGATACTAAAGAATTGGCAACAGCGTGATTATTGGGTAAGTTCTGAGTTATATATTGACCTGGTTATGTGGCTGATCTCTTGGGATTAGCATTTGTATACAAACACTTACAAAATTTGTCAATATTTACTTGTCTGCCTTCATGTGATGTAACTGAATGGGACTCTCATTTGACTGTTTCTCTTCAGCTCCTACCTGTACTTTACCAAATTCTATCCTCTCCTCTTTGCTAGGATATAGAGAATGCCCGTTAAGAGATCCTCCCCTATGGGATGTCTCTGTCCAAACTGTGTGCTCCTTCTCAACTGTCAGCTTTTCCCTACCTCTTAAGTTTAAAAATTTCTCTACTACCTTTTTAATTTTACATGCCAGCAATCGTTTTGGTTTAGGTGGAGCCCATCCTTCCTGTATAGGGTCACTCTTTCCCAAAAGGTTCCTAATTAACCTATAACCCTTCTCCCTACACCATTGTCTTATCCACACATTGAGACCCTGTAGTTCTGCCTGTCTAACTGGCCTGCACATGGAACTGGAAGCATTTCAGAGATGGTTACCATGGAGGTCCTGGACTTTCATCTCTCACCTAGAAGCCTAAATTTGGCCTCCAGGACCTCACACTGATCTTTCTGTATGTCACTTGTACCTACATATAGTACGACCATCAGCTCCTCCCCAGCACTGCACACAAGTCTGTTTAGATGTCTTGAGAGAGCCGCATCCTTCACACCCAGCAGGCAATTCACCATGCAGGTTCTCCCAGTCATCACAAACCCAGTTATCTATATTTCTAATAATTGAATCCCCCATTACTATTATCTATCTCTTCCTGATAACTGGGGTCCCCTCCCCCAGAAGGGGTATCCTCAATGTGAGAGGATACTATGACATCATCTGGAAAGAGGGTCCTAACTATGGGATCATTTCCTTCTGCTCCAGTTTGATGGTCTTCTTCCCTGAGACTTTCATCCTCCTCAAAAGCACAGAAGCTGTCAGACTGGGGGTGGGACTGCTCTATTGTGTCCCGGAAAGTCTCATCTACGTACCTCTCTGTCTCCCTTATCTCCTTCAGTTCAGCCATGAGCTGCTTTGCACCAAATGCATACATATGCCAGCTGCCTACAATCATAAACATACATGTGACATTCAATAAATTGGATAGCCCCTATTCTGCACAAATGCATATAATTATTTCCAAAAGCCAAAACAACAGTTGGGTCTGATTGCTGGGGCAGTGGAAAACTCAAGTCCCTTCCTATTCCCTCTAAAATATGAGGGGATTTTTGCCCTTTTGAGGACATTCAATCTCTGTTTCCACCTGGAGACAATTGTGTCAGTTCCAGGGGGAATGACAAACTAAACATTAGTGCTGTGCAGATATCAAATATCTTCAGGACAGCCTTTCCTCTGATCAGAAGTCTGAGGTCTACAAGATGTCCCCTGTCCATGACACATTCAAGGCTCCTCTTCTACCAATTATGGATGTTTAAAATATAGTGCTCCCTCATTACACTAGGAGTTGGAGTTCTGCAATTCTTCCATTCCCTTTGGAACGGAGGTCTGATGTCTAGGGGATACTGGATGCCCCTTTTTCACAGTGTTTACACTTTCCCTATGCTTTCTTCAGGATGGATGGGCAGGAATGTAATCCTTGCAAAGAATCTCTCTCCACCACAATGACAGACTGAAGCATTATAGCCATGAACCTGGATGATTTCCCCTTAACTTTAAAAGCATTTTTAAAAAAATCTCAAGTCAACTTTGATTTGCAGTCTCCACTTCTACATTTCAAAAATTAATTTAATTTCAAGGTTTCCTGGGGTTGTAAGGCAGCCTTGCCTACTGCAGATGCTGAATTTGATCACCATGTTTGCAACCTCAGGCTATCACATGAATGAACTACTCACACCTTGTTTATATATTAATTTTA